CTCACCTGTCTCAGGTGTGTCTCACCTGTCTCACCTGCAGGAGCACAAGGTTCTCCTGACAGGAACTCCTCTCCAGAACACGGTGGAGGAGCTCTTCAGCCTCCTGCACTTCCTGGAGCCGGCCCAGTTCCCGTCCGAGGCCGAGTTCCTCAAGGACTTCGGCGACCTCAAGACCGAGGAGCAGGTGAGGAGCACCTGGGCGCACCTGGGCGCACCTGGGCGCACCTGGGCGCACCTGGGTGGGCACCTGGGGGCACCTGGGGGTACCTGGGGGTATCTGGGGGTATCTGGGGGCACATGGGGATACCTGGGTGGGCACCTGGGCACACCGGGGGGGGTACCTGAGGGCACCTGGGGATACCTGGGGGTACCTGGGCACACCTGGGGGGGTATCCGGGGGCACCTGGGTGGGCCTAGGGGCATTTGGGTGGGCCTGGGGGCACCTGGGCACACCTGGGGGTATCTGAGGGCACCTGGGGGCACCCGGGGGGGTACCTGGGTGCACCTGGGGGCACCTGGGGGCACCTGGGGGCACCTGGGGGCACGTGGGAACTCACCTGGGCACACCTGGGGGCTCCTGGGGGCACGTGGGAACTCACCTGGGCACACCTGGGGGCTCCTGGGGGCACGTGGGAACTCACCTGGGCACACCTGGGGGCTCCTGGGAGCACGTGGGAACTCACCTGGGCACACCTGGGGGCTCCTGGGAGCACCTGGGGGTACCTGGGGGTATCTGGGGGCATATGGGAACTCACCTGGGCGCACCTGGGGGTACCTGAGGATACCTGAGGGCACCTGGGGGTACCTGGGAATACCTGGGTGGGCACCTGGGCACACCTGGTGGGGTATCCGGGGGCACCTGGGTGGGCCTGGGGGCATTTGGGTGGGCCCGGGTGGGCCTAGGGGCACCTGGGCACATCTGGGCACACCTGGGCACACCTGGGGGGGTACCTGAGGGCACCTGGGGGCACCTGAGAGGGTCTGGGCACACCTGGGGATATCTGGGGGCACCTGAGGGGGCCTGGGGGGCATCTGGGTACACCTGGGGGTACCTGGACGGGTACCTGGGGGAGCCTGGGCACACCTGGGGGGCAGCTGGGCACACCTGGGCACACCTGGGGTGGTATCTGGGGGTACCCGGAGGGCACCTGGGCACACCTGGGGATATCTGGGGGCACCTGGGGGCAGCTGGGGGTACCTGGGCACACCTGGGGGTACCTGGGGACACGTAGGGGCAGTACCTGGGGCAGTCACCTCAGCCAGGTGTGCCCATAACCCCTCCTAGCCACACCTGAACCATTCCTGGACCTGTCCCTGCCGTGCCCAGGTGTGCCAGGTGTGCCCATAACCCCTCCTAGCCACGCCCAGGTAGCACAGGTGCGCCCATAACTTCTGATAGCCACACCTGGGCACTGTTCCAGGTGTGCCAGCCGTGCCCAGGTGTGCCAGGTGTGCCCATAACCCCTCCTAGCCACACCTGGTCCCTCCCCAAACCTCGCCCAGGTGTGCCAGGTGTGCCCAGCCGTGCCCAGGTGTGCCAGGTGTGCTGTCCCCCCCAGGTGCAGAAGCTGCAGGCGCTGCTGAAGCCCATGATGCTGCGGCGCCTGAAGGAGGACGTGGAGAAGAACCTGGCGCCCAAGCAGGAGACCATCATCGAGGTGGAGCTGACCAACGCGCAGAAGCGCCTCTACCGCGCCATCTTGGAGCGCAACTTCGCTTACCTGGCGCGCGGCGCCGGGCACGGCAACGTGCCCAACCTGCTCAACACCATGATGGAGCTGCGCAAGTGCTGCAACCACCCCTACCTCATCAAC